TTAGTAACGTAAATGTTTACATATATTAAATAATTATTATTTTACACATGTTTATATAATTTTTATGTATACTCCGCTATTTAATAATGTTTCGATCTACGTATAATCTGTACCAATTAGATAGGAAGTGTACCATGACCGATGAAAAAAATTTAGAACAAAATTATATACCAAGTTATGAATTAAAATTTTTTTAAATTTACTGTTGTCATCTCACATTTACGAAATTCTTAAATTTAAAACATAATCCAATAGTATAACAATACGAGAAGTGGAAGACTATTGTACAATGAAGTGTAAATATTATAAATACTATCATTCTTACTTTTTATACCCATTTTTGAAAATTTTCAAGTATCATATTTTAGTCATATATATATGCTACCACTTAAAAATTTATCAAATCAGACGCATGTTTTGTTTTGTTTTTAAAATTGTGATTTATATATATTTTATGTGTATATTTAATCATTAACTGTAAATAACAATATCTACAATTTTACTTAAGGTATGGACAACAACAGTTTATCAGCAATATTTATAAATATATGTATTGTATCTTAAATATAATATTGATACAGAAGGAATGTTCAAAGTAAGACATTTTATATTTGAAACATATTCTAAATTATCTCTTCTTATGCCACTTACAGAAGTCCATTCAGTAATTATATCTATTATATGTATTTGTTATTTAATATAGATAACGACTTTGTGTATTTTACTAAATTACTATTGTATGATAAGGCTCAAAATTCCTTTGCTCCTTTAATACAATTAATCCAAATTTCAGTTATTACTAAATTTTTAGCAACAATAATAACTTAATTTTTTTTCTTGCTTCAATAATTTTCTATTAATCTGATGTTTGAAACATTCAATTACTAAATTTTTACATGTGCAAATTAGTAATTTAAATAAAATTATTCATATTCTATTTTACTAACTGCTTACATAACATTAGATACTAAATGTACTGTTTTCAATATAAAGCTCATAAGAATATGCATCTACCACACATTACTGTTGTAACAGAATAAATTGTTTCTTTTTAATATTTTTAATGTAAAGAAGCATTTATAAAAGACATTATTTCCTATTAAATATAATACTCAAAAATTGTGATGGTGCACCTCCTTTAAATTTATATTTACATATAATACTGCAAACCATAAAATAACATAATACATATATGTCATATTATCATCACAAAGAAATAGAATTACTTTTGAAGAAAATAATTTTTAGTAGTTTTTCCCTTATCTTTTGTTAATCTCAAATTCGTACTTTAACATTAGTAAAATCTTTACTCACCCTAAAAAGATATTTATGACTTTGATTAGCAGCATGATAGGAGGCTAGGACGCATTTTTGTAGAACTCTTTTTAGTCGCGTAATTGATGATGTATACGCTAAACGTACAATACAAGCACTTGCTCGACCTTCAAAACTTTATACTATTCATTCAATTACTCAAAAATAATACTTATTTACAGGTGAAATTTTCAAAAATCCGAGAATCCAAATGTTTCTTGATCACCCTCGGTGACGAAACTAATCAATAACTCTACATTAGTGCTACCGTGTGGCAAAATCTAGAAGCTCCTTAACACTACTCGATGAATATATTTTTAAACTGAAAATAAATCTCATAGCATAAATTTATATAAATTTTTTCATTAATATATTGTTCTATGTAAAATAAAAAA